CCTCCAAACTTGCCCTCTCCCGACACAAGCTCACCTCCAAAAGTGCCCCGCCCGGAAGCCTCCCCCCCCCCGCCCCCTCCCGAAACAAGCTCCCCTCCACCTCTTCCAGTCGGGAGCCAATTACCACCACCACCTGCCTCAAACAGCCCCCCAAAAGGTTTGCAAACCCCACCCTCACCCTCTCCATCAATGAGTTCACCATCACCACCTTCGGAAACGCCAGCCTCACCGTCGCTGTCAGGTCACCCACCGCCACCGCCACCGTCACCGTCACAGTCATCATCATCTCCCCCTAGGAACCAGGCTGTATCTGTTCTGAAAGCACGGGACTCACCACAATTTATGTTAACAACACCAATAATTGCTCCAAAAGCGCTGCAAGGCGGTACCCCATCGATTACCCTCTCCCCGAACACAGACCCACCGCCAGCACCCTCCACAGCACAGTTGTCACCACCCGAAGCGCACTCACCCCCTTTAACCGGGAACGCTCCCTCAGGAGGCTCATCAGCCCCACCAACGCCTGCAACTCCTGATCAACTGCCAGCGCCGAGAGAATCGCCCTTTAAGGCCCCTCCCTCTAAAGGTCGACCATCAGTCCCACACTCGAAGCGCCCGGTAATCATCAAGAAGGGAGATTTCTGGCTGAAGAGACTCAACCCAGTGCTGAGGGTGAGTCATAGGCCCAGGAGTGAAAATGATGGTACCCTACAGAAGGGCACTGCCTCACCACTTATTCCGCCCGTCCCTCTGTTGTGAGACTTGCAGCAGCTGCAACAGATTGCGCACTCGACTTCGGCTCAGGTCAGAGGTAGTCGTGACCTGAGCCGAAGTCAACTTGGTTGCCGAGTTGCAAACATTGCCCACAGGTTGCAGTAACTGTAGTTAACTACAACAGCTTCCCCCCCCCCGGCATGGTTAAACTGCAGTTAACTACAATTACCTGCAGTTAACTGCACTTGCCTGCTGTTAGAATGTAACCAATCGCAGCTAACCGACTGCAATTAATGGCAGAGTCAGTCTGCCGTTAACTCGTGTCAGCTGCAGTTAAAGAAACTGCAGCTAACTGCAGTTATCAGCAGTTAACGGCATTTATCAGCAGTTAATTGCAGTTAATGGCAGTTAACAGCAGTTATCAGCAGTTAACTGCAGTTATCAGCAGTTAACTGCAGTTATCAGCAGTTAACTGCAGTTAATGGCAGCTGGAGCAGTTAACTGCAGTTAAATCAACTGCAGTTACCAGCAGTTAATGGCAGCTAGACACCAGAGGGATGGATGCAGGTAATTCGGGAGTTATTTTTCAAACATTGGCTGCCTTCAACTGCAGCTGTGCAGTCCATTGTCGTTTTCTGTGCTTCACAGCACTCACTGCAAGGACGATAACCTTGCGCTGAACTGTGGATCAACAACTGCTGCTGTAAACCTGCAGTTAACTCCTTTAACCTGCACTTAACTGCAGCCTGAAAAAACTTTCCTTAACGGCGGTTAACTCCAAGCTTATCACCACTGCAGGTTAGCTGCAGCGATAAGCTTAGAGATAACTGCGGTGTGCACTGCCAGGACAACTGCAGCGGTGATAAGCTTGCACTTAACTGCAGTGCAGTGCCAGGACAACTGCAGTGGTGATAAGCTTGCACTTAACTCTGGTTAACAGCTGTTAGCAGCAGCGATACGCTTGCACTTACCTGCAGTGGCAGTGCCAAGGCCAACTGCAGTGGCGATAAGCTTGCACTTAACTGTAGTTAACAGCTGTTAAGTACAGTGTGCACTGCAGTTGGCTGCTGTGCAGTGCTTTCGTTACCTGCTGTTAAATCCAGCCAAATGCAGTTCTGACGATGACCATAGCCAGAACTGAAGAGCTTTGGCCACAATCGTCCACTATATATAACAATGCACACTTGCAACTTTGGTGCTTCCGTTTTGACTAACGTTACCGCAGTTTGAACTTTGAATGCAGCTTGCAGCTGACCATAGATGGCATTGCATAACCATAGTTAAGTTAACAGCATTCGCCACCATTGACCATGCATGCCAGGGCATTGCTGCAGTAAGACTATACAGTTACAGCAGCTTGACTCTAGCTCAAATTGGGCAGATACATTTGCCTCACATAGTACGTACCTTGTCGCACTATAGTACGTACTACGTCGTACTATGTCGTACTATGTCGTACTGTGTCGTACTATGTCGTACTATAGTACGTACTACTTGTCGCACTATAGTACGTACTACGTCGTACTATGTCGTACTGTGTCGTACTACGTCGTACTATAGTACGTACTATGTCGTACTATGTCGCACTAGAGTATGTACTATGTCATACTATGTCGTACTATGTCATACTATAGTACGTACTATGCCATACTATAGTACGTACTGTGTCATACTATGTCGCACTAGAGTACGTACTATGTCGTACTATGTCGAACTATATCATAGCGTCATAGTACGTAACATAGTAGACAAAATTGGGCAGATACATTCGGCTCACCTAGTACATAGTATGTAATACTATGTCGTACTAGGCCAAAGCTTCATAGCACGTGACGTAGTACATATACTAACATAGAACATACTATGTCGTACTATGCTGGTAGTACTATGGCATAGCTTCGTAGTATGTAACATAGTATGACATAGTGCGTACTATGCTGTAGTACTATGCCATAGCTTCATAGTGCGTAACATAGAACGTACTATGTCGTACGAACCTGTAGCTTCATTGTACAGACTATGTGCCCAACTTCAGCTCTGAAGTTGGGCACGTACTCGTGTACTACGTCGTACTATGCCCAAGAATTGAGCATTTAGAACGTAATCATGCCCACGAATTAAGCACACAGTATGTACCTCACATAGTACGTACTATGTCGTACAATGCCTGTCGTAGCTTCATCGTACGTACTACGTGCACAACTTCAACTATGAAGTTGGGCACATAGTACGTACTATTTCGTTCTATGCCCAAGAATCGAGCACATAATACGTACTACGTACTCATGCCCAAGAATTGAGCACATAGTATGCACTCGTCCTCACGAATTGAGCACATAGTACGTACTATGTCATACTATGCCGTAGCTTCATAGTACAATTTCTTACCACATAGCTGCACATGGCTACTACTATTACAGCTGGCAGTTGATATCCACATTTGACTACAATAGCCACATTTGACTATAATAGCCCACATTTGACTATAATAGCCCACATTGGACCAAAAATGCCAGATTTGACTATACTCCCACTATAGTCAGCACATTTATTAGTCAAATTTGACTATAGCCATCACAACTCTTAGCCATATTGCACAATAGCCATCACATTTGCTAGCCATATTGCACAATAGCCATCACATTTGCTAGGCATATTTGAGTATAGTCATCACATTTGCTACCCATATTTGACTATAGCCATCACATTTGATAGCCATATTTGACTATAGCCATCACATTTGATAGCCATATTTGACTATCGCCATCACATTTGATACCCACATTTAACGAAAGCGGCATAGACAGATTTGATCGCCTTACTTAACTGTAGGCGATAGACAGATTTGATACCAATATTTGACTACAGGGCCACAAGCTATAGCCAGATTTCATGGCGATCACATTCGATAGCCACATTTGATTATCGTTCGATTCATTACAGAATGCGATTCATTCAATAGTGTTTAGTGTTTTTTTTTTTTTTTCTCTTTGCTGTCTGCAGACGTTGGTTGACTTGTCTTTTTTTTTTTTTTCCCACCCAGGAGCTAGCGGTGCTTTTCTTTTTTTTTTTTTTTTTTTTTGAAAGGCGACAGCCTTGAGATACCCCATAGTCGAACTTCGGTCTGTATTTCAACAAAATTCATCAGTGTATGAACTGAGCTAGGCTCTTCTGTGGTAGTAGTGCGCTGAGACGAGAACAAACCTCTTTTGACTTCATTACAAATGTTTCCACGAGGAGGAAGAGGGAGTTGGGGGGGGAGAAGGGGGCGGAAGAGGGGGGAATTTGAAGACTACCATCTTCCCCCGAATAGAACGCTCAGTCATTATCGCGGTATCTGGACTGAAAGTTGCCCCAAATACAGCTATAATGACCGGGCGGGCATTGTAATCAGCTGACAACAGTGGGGCCCCTTGATCCTGCAGATTTCAAACTTTGAATCCATCATCGACCACTATGATTACTCCTGAATTGGAGTTATCACTCGAGTTTTTTTTAACTTTTTTTTTTTTTCCCCAACTCAAATGTTTGATTTCTTTTGAGTTTTAAACTTAAAAAAAACTTGAAAAAAGAAATTTCACTCAAGCCTCAAGATTTTTTGTTTTCCCCTTTTTTTTCACTCAATGGCTCTGCCTTTTTGTAAAAAAAAAAAAAAAAGAGACTGAACGTGGATGAGGTTGAGGTTGCAGTCCTCCAAGATTGAAGGAGATCGCCACCTCAACCTCCTCTCTCAGCATGCGCACAAGTTGTTCGAGCTAGTTAACCAACTGGTTTTCCTTTTCTTTTTTTTTTTTCTTTTTTTTATAAATATAATTTGGAACATTTCTCCGTTGAGCTGGTTAACCAACCGGTTTTCCTTTTCTTTTCCTTTTTTTCCCTGTTTTTTTTTAATTTCATTTGGACAATTTCTCGATTTATGCATGAATTCCTTACGCAGGGGCCAGCTAATCGTCTTTGCATCCTTCCTTTTTCTTTCATTTATTTTTTTTCCTTCCAATTTTAACGGATGTCCAGAATGACAACTACCTTTTTTTTTTTTTTTTTTTTTTTCCYTTTTTTTTTTTTTTTTGAGAAAACTGCCGTTCGGAGGAAATCCTGCAACCAATTGCTTGGTAGCTGTCAGAAATTCAGAATGAGTTTTACCTTCCTCCTACCGTCTTTCCCCGGATAAGAAAACATGTTCGTTGAATCTGTACCTGGCCAAACAAAAAAGGCTTAAAAAACAGTTTAACACCTGCAAATGAAGAGTCGTCGGAAACTGGTTTAGTAGCTGCCCCAGAAAATCTAACCAAAGCACACCCCTATAGACCCCTTTAAACCCCTTTAAACCCCTTCATAGTACACATCTGTTCAACGTTCAAAGCCCACTTAAACCCCCCATTCTCCCTCTGCCCCAGAACATCTAAGCAAGACGCACCCCTTTAAACCCCTTTCAAACCCCTTTTGGATCCCTTAAACCCCTTTGAACCCCTTCAAACCCCACTTATACCCCCATTCCTTTAAACCCCTTTAAACCTCTTTTAGACCTCTTTAAACCCCTTTAAACCCATTTTCAAAGTTCAAACCGCAGTTATATCCCCCATTCTCTCTCTTTCCCCCTCCCTTTCTTCACCGTCGGCAAAACTGAAACAGCATAAAACAGCATGTATTTGGGCTGCTTTGGTGGGCGCCGAAACACCCTACCAGCAGGGAAAAAAAAAAAAAAAAAGAGTCCATAATCTTGACATGCCAGGGATGACCCTGGTGGGAGACCACCCCGGCGAATAGCCCGGCAGCGCTGCAATCATCCTAGGAAAAAATTCCGGGGAAAAAGTTCAAAAAACTTAAAAAAAGGCAAAAATTAGAACCCTTCATCCACAACAGAATGGTGCTGAAAGGAGACAGCTGGAGTAGAAACATGCTTTTTTTTTTCTTTTTTTTTTTTCAAGTAGAAACATGCTTTCCACCCAAGGGACAAGAAGGTATACAAATTTCAAAAACGATTTTTTTTTCCTCCTCATATTTCTACCAACTGACCTTGTAAGCTGCAAGAAAAAACAGCCTCAGATCTGGATTTGGTGAGCTGAACCGCGGAACCGAGGATATCATTTCCTCCTCATCCTTTCGCCCATCCACAACAGAACATTTCATTCACACTTCACTTTGAAATCTCCGGTCCCAGTTACAGCAAAACTCTCTCTCTCTCTCTCTCTCTCTCTCTCTCCGCCCCCCCTCTC